GGCTGTTATGGCAGAGTCAAATAAGAAATGGCCCAAAATCGTTGGGTACCCTTCATTTCTTAGCTAGAAAGCAAAGGTTTTTTTCGTGTTATCCAGCCGACATAGCCCGTACATTTCTTAACCAATCATTTCTTGTACAGTGGTTGCACTGTATGTATGTGTATATATATATTACCTGCCCTTCAAGGTTGCACCGGGCAAGCCGATCGGATGTAGTTGTGGTGCGGTTTATGTTGGTAGCAGGGATTTCGAGAGCCCTGATTCCATGAGGCATCCTTGCAGTCATAGGGGTAATGGAAAAGAAAATAGAACCTACTATAGTATATTGGGGTTATATTGGGATACTGGAAAAGAAAATGGGAGCTACCATACTCCTGTGGAGTTGCATGGCTGGAAGGACTTGCAGTTAACCAGCCGGCTGGAAGGCGAGCTGTCCTTGATAACAGGAAAGAAAATTTAAGATGGGTTCCCAGTGTGGATATTGTCAATAATAGTTAGCGACTAACTGTGGGCAAAACGGCTATCGTGTTGCACATCGTACCTATAGGGTGTAGGAGTGGACGCTACGCTGTTACACTACATGGGCGTTTCCAACAGTCAGGGAGAGTCCCCAGAGGAAGGATTAGTGTAGAGGGAGTTTATACTGTGGCCCCCCATTTCCAGAAACCACTCACGTGTGAGAACTTGTCAGGGTCACCGGGCACTATTCATGTCAAGATTTAGGGACTGTTAAGGAATGTGGGCGGCCTTCATGGGGGGGGGGCAGGATTTGAGTCGTGATGGGATAAAGTACTAGATGTGAGTCTCCGTCTAGGAGTCGCTCTTCCAGGACATGTTTTCATCATGAATAGGTTGGGTACTTGCAAGAGATCTCACTGTACTCAAGGGAACACCTGTTGAGCTCTGCTCTCTTCTGTGTGAAATTTGCAGCGTACGCTCCCCTATGTAGCGACGACCATGTGAAAAGCTATCCCCATATCAGCCTAACATGTTTGTGGTGTGATGTACTAGAAGCCCTACTCGAATTAGCTATAGTCCCCCTTATATAAGTAGATAGAATATGGGGTATATGGGGATCTTAGTATAACCTACCCAAGACCATATTCTATTTACAGTACTTAAGGGGGGCTATAGATGCTGAAAAGCCGGGGCGACCCTCAGCCGAGGCTTGGGGAGGTGATGCAACCTGCTCTCCGGCTTTTAAATGTCAAGGTATTTCGGGGTTTCCCAAAATTAGGGGTACCTTTAAACGGGGTTATTTCGGGGTTATAGGGTTGTATAGGGTTTAGGTTGTAGGCGTTCCCCGAAATTGGGGGAACTTTTTTGGGGTCTGCATATTAAGGATTATACTATATATATTGATCTACATCGGACTCCTTTTATTTAGGGAAACTACACTCCTGGAAACTAACATGGAAACCCATATAGTCACCTTTTAGAGGGACTGTAGTCTTTATAGGGCCCTTTTTGGGTTTCCATGTTAGTTTCCGGGAGTGTAGAAACAAGTGCTGTGGCGGAATCTTGATTTGCAGAACCCTTGGCCTTGCAGGCAGTGCTGCTCGCAAGAAGCATCAGCTCAAAGGCTACGTGTCCGCGATCCCAGCCTAACGGCTAACGGCAACGGTGAGGAAGTCAAAAGTCGGCGAGCGCCATGATGATGATGATGATGATGATGATGATGATGAAAACGCTGATGATTGTGATGATGCGGGGCGGGGGGTAGGTGGGGAGCAGCTTATGGGGGAAGATTCCATTCAACAGTAGGCTGTTTCTATGAACATGTTAAAGCGTTGTGGGCATATGAAGCATTTGTGGGCACTACAGCCTTTGTACAAATCCTTGGCGCAAATCCTTCCGTGAGCTTTGAGCACAGAAGGTTGTTCTCCGAGCAATCCATACACGTGCCCTCATCATTCTGACGCAGCGCAGCGCCATGAAGGATTGTGGTCACCGCAAGAATGCAAGAACACTTGGGAGTTTCCCAACTTGAGGCATACCTTTTTCGGGGTCCGTATAATACGGACGATAGTACCCATAGTATTTTGGGGTCTATATCGGGGCACCCTAATTAAGGGAAGCTACCGCATAACATTTTGGGAAAGTGACGTTGCCATCGCTGCTCCTGGGCTCAGCCTTCAGATTTATAGAAAGGCTTTTTGCAATGGCCCACTTCTTGGAGGCTGGGTTTCGGGTTTAGGGTTGGACAGGTAGCCTAGGAACCCGTGGTCATCAATTGCCCCTGAAGATGCGAAAGCAAATTGTCCGTGTAAGTTGTGGTGAAATTGTGGCAGTAATACTTGCCACGTGGAATCATGGAGTGAGAGGCGGGTCCTGATCTGTTGGGGGCCACAAGAGGACTTCGCGTGTGCATCCGGTTATCCGCACGGGATCTCTGTTGATAGTTTCGTTGCAGGTGGAGTTCTCAGACATGATTAGGGTCACTCACATCCAATCAAGTCTTCTTTGCACTGGCAGTCTTCATGCTTGAATGGCTTGCAGTGTAATCACTCTAAACTCTAAACGCCAAATCAGCAACCGAAATCAAAGAATTGCCCCAGGCGTTCGCTTCAAGTTTTATGAGAAAGGCCTGAACACCGCGCCACCAGTAATTCCAGCTCTTGCCACGCCTCTTGTTTTCATCGCAGCGGGCCCCAATCCCCAAACAACTTCTACCGTACATCCTAGGCATGTCATCCAAGCTTTTTTTTGCATCTTGTGGGGAGAAACGATACCCCTGCAGTTGAAAATATGTTACAATAGGCCAAAGTACTTGCCCGACAAGCTCTCGGGCTCCGCCAAGTCGGCAGATGATACCTACACTGCCACTTGGGCCCCTAGGGAGGCCTGAAAAGAGCACCCTG